GAGTAGGACTCTTCTAGTTTTCCAGAGTTACTGCCTGTATTACACTTGACACTTAAAGCTCCATTCTGATCTGACTGAAACAAGGATAACATACAGTGAATCTGGATTGGTAGGTGGATCAAGCTTTTCTTTCAGTGTCTTCTCCTCTTTATTAACATGTGAAACATCAGCTGTATCTTCAATGTAAGTACATTGTTAGGCACTGAGTATGGGAGTTGTTCTGTGGATCAGAATAACATCTTTTAACTCTGTTTGATTTATATAGAAAATTTTATTACTTGACCCTTCAATGAGACTGTGCTGCTATTTATCCTGACAGATTAAGAGCTTTGTTTCCTATCTCTCATTCTACATAGCAGGAGTCCTGGGCATGTACTTGAAAACTCTACCAATAAAAATCACTGTCAGACTTGAAATCAGTCAATTTTTATTGATTATCCTCCAGCTACCCATGCAACTAGTTGAAGATAATATGGATTACTGGTTAGATATTGAAGATACTAGTTGCTATTTTTTAAATTAAGTGTATTTATTATATTAAAGAAGTAAAATATCAAGTACCATCTGTATATAGCCATTGGCCCATTGTTAACTTACAAATAATATAAAAGGGAAAAAAACCAATCATATACCATGAGGGAAAACTGCCTTGTTGTTACAATAGAACTTGCATTACATTTCAAAGAAAATCTGAGTGGTTAATACAGGGGTACAAAGTAATCTCTGATTGTGCATCCAGAATGTAGTATGACATTTCATTCTTAGATCAAATCTCAGAAACAAGTATTGCATCAGGTGTTATGACTATATATACATTCCTCTGTTATTATAACATAAACATGAATGTATTCTTCCTTCAACTTCCTTTTTTAGAATGCCTTTGGTAGAACCTTACTCAGCTGATTCAAACGGAGACATAATAGATCTTGACGCTGGAAAAGGAATATGTTTTTTAACACTATAGCTGTTTTATTGCATTTGTTATAGTTTATTTAATTTTTTTATTTAATTATATTGAAGTGACTTAACAAAAGAAATAGCATTAAATTCTAGCTCTTCTCATTTTTCTTGAAAGTTTGAACTAAAATCAGGAGCTGTATCTAAAATTTGGCTGTTCTGTGTTTAGTACATCAGAATGAAGTCCTGGAAGCAATTTTTCTTGAACACTGGAAAATTCAGATATAATCCATGTCTAACCTTTGCAGTATAATCCCTCCCTTTGTGGTCTTTAAATATGAAAAATAAAATGGAAATGGACAGATTCTTTATACCAGAAATTACAGGATAATGGAGTCTACCTGACTTAGACTTGTGTTTGTAAGCACAAGCATGAACATTGTTTTGGACTGTGCAAACTGAATTTTATGTGCATTTTTTAAATGTACATAGTTTCTTGTCAACAGGAAGATCAATGAAGTGCTGTCCAAATTGTTCATCCATTACTTAGCCTTCCTAGTGTCAGCATTACTGTCAGATTTAGTTAGAGAACTTCATTTATTTAAAATTTCATTCACTGTGGGAAGGATGAGGAAGTGAATCATGTCTCAATAATGGAAATCTGGAAGGGGGAGGCATTTTCTTGTGTATTGAGTTAAAACCACAAGGTACTAGGTCATTTTGAGGTTTGCATTTAAGGCAAAAGCTTTGCCCCAAATGATTCTGGCCAGAATAATCTTAAATATCCAGGTCTCACCAAAATTAATGGACATTAGACTGTATACCTGGTGGTTCAAAAACAACATGAGTAAGGCTTATCTAGTAGATTTTATTATTTTTTATGGGAAGCATATGGTTGAAAAAACCCCATTCTTCCATTCCCTGTGGAATGGGAATTATTTTCTGAAATTATCTCTTAGCATAACTACCTGTTAGAGCATAACATGACTGAAATGCTTTGACACCCAGTCAGCCCCACAGACTTATAATGAAATGTGGTGTACTAGTGCATAAAACTCCTGCCTCTTCCAGTTTCGTACATGACTAGAAACAGCAAAGGGAGTAGCAGCAAGACAGGCAAAGAAAGACATTTACATGGGAAAATTATAGTCTTCATCCATTGATAGATACAGAAAAATTCAGAATCCTAAGCTGATTAACACTCAGAGTACACCACACTCTTGGATAATAGAGGGAATCTTGATGTATGTCGTTAGGTTAGGAGCAGCTGCCACTTCCAGCCACTCCATCCCACGACTCCCTCCTGCTCCAGCCAGTAAACTCAAGGACATGGGGACTCCACCGAGGCTGAGGGACCCAGCTGCAACTTCTCTGTGCACAGGTTCAACCAGTAGCAAACTGCAGAATGTGTCAGAGAGCAATAACAGCTGTGCACTAATACAGTGCATACTTCAGGTGCAGTGAAGCCGAGAATCTCATATTGAAATATCTCTGTGGTTAGTTCTGGAATGGTCTCAAATTGTTGAATCTAATAATACATTTTTAACTTAGATATTTGGTTCATACTCTTTTTGATGTGAACAGTGAATTGTGGCTCTCAATTTTTATCTTATTTTTCAGTTAGTTTGTAGGATGGTGGATAACCTTTCATTATATTCAGATATATCCGTATAATTTCCTTGGCTTTGAAGGGTTTACTCAAATATTAATGTTTACCCCAGTGCTGATAACCTTGAATTTAATATTTAAACCAAAGAAATGGTGGAGGTGCTCTGAACCCAAAGGTGATATGCAGGTTTCCAGCCTGGCTCTGGTACTGCACTAAAGATCTAAATGAAAATATGCTTTGTGTTATTTTGGGGATTCTTGCCTGGAAGGGGTTCTGAGGTTCAGTGACAGTTCAAAAACACACAATTATACTGAAAGAGTAAGCTGTTTAAATATAACTGTGGAAAGAGCCTGGTAGGAACATGCAAATATTGTCTTTGCACCCACCAAACAACACAGAACCAGCTTGCACTTTTGTCTCTCTCTTCTGTTGTCTGTAAAGCCTCACATAAATCCCTTTAATCAGTCACTAGAAAGAAAACTTAAAGAAAGTAGGAGGCAGGTTTCTGAAAGCCCTGTCCTCTTTTCATCAGGTAAGTCACTAGCCAATGTCCTGCTGGAAAGACAATATAGATCATGGCCCTACAGCTTGATTTTTCTGCCTGTCCAAAATAACAATTCCTACAGTCCATGATTAGCACTTTTTCTGTTGTTGGTTGGTTGGTTGGTTGGTTGAGGTTTTGTTTGGGGGGGTGGCATTTGATCTGATGAGGGTATTATGCACTAGTTAGGATTTGGGGCATTCCCAAGAAGCTTCTCCTTTTCCATCAAAAGTGTGTTAGTGTGACGTTGTTATACGTGTGTCTCATAGCAGTTTGTGGCTTCCTGTAATAGTGTCATAATTCTAGTCCAGAGCTGATACAACCTCAAGGCAAGTACAGCCTCTTGAGATACCTGTCAGAATTAACTTTTAGCATTGTCCCAGCTTAATTACTACAGCATTCCTGATTAATTCTGCGTCACCACCAGTGAACTCTGAAGTGAATGCTTACTAAAGTGAGTCAGGGAAATTTAGAAGCTACCAAAAGCAAATTTAGCTGATGGGCAGGATCATTTTGGAAAATTTTAAAAAGTGTTCATGATGATATGAGCTCTCTGGCAAAGCCTTTTAGTTAAAATGTATCTTAATTAGATTTTGGCAACGACTTATGTGTAACTAGTTGTGGTTTTTTTTATTATAGGTGCTGTATTAGGCATCATCTGACCTCAAGCACCTGTTGCTTGTTTTTCTACTTGTGGCCCTCTTTTTCAGCCAATTTAACTATTTTGGTGGCATATGAAAAACTGTATCCAGGAACTAAATTTAAAATGAAGTTCATCCTTTTATTCTGTCACAGTTTGAATAATGTCTGTTTGATAATCTTCTATTCTCCTGTCTCCAAAAATGCTATTGAAGAGGCCATAAGGCATTGGAGATTGGCAAGGTGGTTAGAAAAGTGGGAGAAGGAATGGGAGGTGTAAAATCTGTCTTAGCCACCACAGCAAATGTGTATGCCATTTTACCCTTGTCAGAAAAGTACTGCACGGCTGGCCATCTACCTAACTGAAGTCTTCAACAACTTTATGAATTTTTGAGGATTTTTACTTTCTTTGCCTTCTTTTCTTCTTTCTTTTCAATCTCTCCTTCCTGTTCCTTCCTGCTCCCATCCTAAATGAATTCTCTTTTTCTTACAAACCTTTCATTGTTGAAGGTTTATAAGTAGTGAATTAGTCTCTCCATCCACTGTCTTATCGAGGACGTTTTTCTCAAGTAAATTGACATGTTGACTTTTGAAGGGCATTCAATCAAACAATGGCATACAAATATGTCCTGTCTCCCTGCCTTTTAGCCTGAGCAAGACACTAAGTCATTCTCATCTCTTATAAACCACCTTCAAACACAAGAAAATGAATGTATTCAGAGCAAAAATGAAAATTCTACAGAATGTCCTCAGATTCCTCAGAAGTGATCAAGGATGTTAGATTTTGGGACTATTTTCAAGTTTGCATAAAGATTCCAGCACAAGTTTTGCTGGAATCTTTGAAGTATTCTTTGTCCATGAACACAAAGACAAAGACTGGAACCCTAGTTCTAGAGAAGGCTGAACTGGAAATTCACTTCATGGCTGCATTTGTAGTCAGAAAAATCAGAGAAATTAGAATGGGAGTTCTAAAATATAGCAAGGAGATAAATCCTTTTCCTACTCCAAGAATATTTGTATGAGAAAGAAGGAATGAGAAACAGCAGCAGAGAATACTGGAGGAAAAGGTAGCAGAAAACTTCCACCTTTAGACAAAAATCATGAGTTGTACTGTATAAATTCTTTCAGGTAGTTGAAAATTACTTGAATCAATAACATTGCAATGTAAATTAATAACTTTATAATATTTCCTTACCACATTGCCTTTGTTCTACCCTCATCTAGGAAAACCTGTGTTTCTTTTAATTTGAAAATATCCTGGCTTAAGTCATAGTAGATGAGGTTAATAATGCTCTTTATTTTGCTTCTCTGCAGGGTTTCCTGTACAGATGAATGACTCAGATCACTCCCTATTTGAGCATTCTTTCCAAGGATGCATGCAGAGCATTCATGTGGATGATCAGCTGGTGGATTTGCATGCAGTGGAGCAAGGAGAACTGGGAAGCTTTGCCAATGTCACCATTGACATGTGTGCCATTATTGACAGGTAAGTTGTGGAGAGATCACCCATATTCTTATACACTGACATGTTCTTCACATTCTGAAAATATACAGTGATCCAGAAGAGGTGGTTCTGACACTGCCAGTGAGCATGTCAAGGCTACTTTTTAGCAGTGGGAACCAGTGCTTAGGTGGTTAGATGGAGATGATGCCTTTAAATTGTAGAGTGTATAGGGTGCAGTAGAAAGCAACTCTCAAATCTCTCCACCCACCAGCAGAGAAGGAAGTGAAAAGTTCCTCTAAGTCAGGCTCGGGCTATATGTCAATGATGTGGCTGCCTTGAATAAAGAAAACTCCTCACACATTTTGTCTGTTTCTTAGATGATTGTTAGGAGGCCTTTTTGTGACTAGAAATTGTGGCTCCTGGCTTCAGCCTCTTCTGGCCTCTCTGTGTTCCTCAGAGAAGTAAAGCAGGTCTGCATGCTTGCACATCAGTGAATGTAATAAATGCTCAAACTTAATTAAAGTAATGCTTACTGGGTTTGGTTTTTTCCAATCTGAGAAGAGTAATTGAGAATTAGGGCAGCTTTGGCACTACCTTTTCAACCACCGAACTGTATTCATTTTTGTTGCTTCTGATAGTTTCTTTGTTGGTGAAAAAAAGAAAATACCAGGAAAGACAGAAAGAACAAGTAGCCCAACTCCTGAATGCAGGCAGCTTGGCTTATCATGAAAATTACCTTACATTAAAGCCATTGCAAGCCTGCTGAAAGGCCAAAAATGGCTTTTTCAAATAGTGCTCTGAAAGAAGCGAGGAGTACTACATCAGAAACCCTGGAATAATTCAGATAATAACCAACTACTGGTGCTCATGACACCCTCTAAAAGCAGGGCCAACTTTAAAGCCACATCAGGTTACTCAGGACCAGTTGAGCTTTGTGTATCTCCAAGGATAGATATTCGACTGGCTCAATGATTTTGGATATCATCAACAAATATATGCATAGTTGTGGTAAAGAAATGCATTCTTTTAATTTACTACTTTATTTTGAGAGCCTCTCAGACATAGATGCTACTGTGGAAAAAACAAAATATAACATACCGCTTTGGTCTTGCAAAATGCCTTCTCTTCCTGAAATGTAGACGTCCATTTGCACTAAATGAGTTGTGGTAGGTTTACCATGGCCAGCAGCCAAACACTTCCCCTATCTTCAGCTCTCTCCCTTGTCCTGAGAGATGGGGAGAAAAACACAAGGAAGGCAAAAACACTTGTGTATTAAGAAAACAATTTAATAAGAAAAGAAAAAGCTTTACATGAAAACAAAGAAAAAAGATAAATTTGTTCACTGCTTTGCATTGGCAAGCAAGTGTCCAGCTGCTCCCTGGAAAGCAGAGCCTCACCACAGCACATCTAGTGGTTGTTTTGGAAGAGAAACTCCATAACACTAAACACACTCCTTCCCTCTTCCATTCTCTAAGGTATTGTTGCTGGGCATGCTATTGTGCAGTATTGAATTTCCCATGGGAAACTGCTTCCAAAGCCCCTGCTTCCAAAGGCTCAGTTTGGCCCAGCTCCCCCAGCCTCTTACCCACCCTCTCCTCCTGGCCTTTAAGGGGAAGGGAGTACAGAGAAGCTGTCCAGCACCCAGAAGCCAGAAGAGTGATGTGGTACCAGCTTTGGTTTTATTTTTTTATGGTTTTAGCTACAGCCAGGGAACACAACACCCATGGACTGCTGGGAAATGGTTAATTTAGCAACTCCATCCCAGCCAGACCCAGTGTACCACTGCAGTAATCTCAGGGTTACAGGACATGCTTTGGGCTGTACCAGAGAGTTGCTCTGGCATGTCAGGCCACTTTATATTGATTCTCCTATGGACCTGTTGAAGGTTGAAGTCATAATGAAAAGAGCATATGACAAGCTGGTGTTGTAGAGGTGAAGTTTGTTCTGTCTACTCACACATATCTGAAATTAAAAAGACTTTCAGTGGTCAGTACTTGTCAGTTTGACTTGGTTTTATTTTTAATATTAAGTTTTGGAAATGCAAACTGACTTGAAAGAAAGGACATGAAGATACAGCAAATTAAGTCTCTGCTTTTCCTCCAGTGGATAAATTTAAGCTTATGCGACAATTTGTATTGATCTCAATGATTGAACCCATTTATGCCAGTTTCTATTAGAAAAAGAAATCCATTATTTGAGCAAAGTTAATCAGAATTAGAGTTTTGAAATATATTATAACATAATTACAAGTAACATACAGTGTAAGTTAATTAGTATCAAAGCTTTATGATACATTTATGAAATACAAGACTTAAGGCTTCCTTTATGTTGAGCAGCTAATTTGGAAGTTGAGTTCTTGCAGAAGTTACTATTTAGAAGCTATTTCTTTGTATTACACATAATATACATCCAAATATTTCAAATAATGTCATGTGCCACATAAAAGTCATATATAGTGGTGTTTTATGATTTGAAAATATTACTATGTTTTCTATATTTTTGTGTATTATATATTTAGTTTATTGCATATATATAAACACCTGTATTCGTACCAGAGTTTGGCAAAAATAGCAGTGTTTTATCTATGCTTACGTATGTATGTATTAATATTTTCTTTATATGAGAGAATATATTCTCAGTCTGCTTCTCTCTTCTACCACCTTGGGGGCTGATATCATGCTCATAAAAGCTAAAAATGTGTGAATTACATTTATGCTTTTTAAGTGTTGCAAGCAGAGTAGCAGTTGTATAGTCCCAGGAAATTAGAATAATATCCAAAGAAGTTTCTTAGGGTTGGCTTTGATTTTTTCAATGATTGAGATGTAATCAAGTTTGTTGTTTTCCCCTTATATGTTATTTCTCGTTAGTTTGCACTTTAGAGCAAATCCTTTGGCTGAGAAATAAGAATGCCAAGCTTTAGATCTGACTGGATTTTCATGGCTCTCTTATTAACATCTGCAGATAAGAGTTTACAAGCCCTTCTACAATATGACATTATATATAACATTTTTATGCAGCTTTCTTTTAAGGAATGCCAGTACCATGTGTGCTATATATCAACTCAATTTCTCTTCCTTTGAAAGGGGAAGATATTTGTGGCTTGTCATAGTGGGACTTCCTGCTTTTTTAAACTAGTTTGAATCTGAATCATAAAGGCTTCAGTCATCATCATTACCAACATGGAAATGGCTTTCATAGCCACACTTCAGTAAAGAGCCCCACTGGGGAAAAAGATAAAGCTGTCACATTGAATTATTCTTACTGCAGGCTTCTGCCGTTTGGTTCAGGGGACAAAAGGTGAAGTTGGAAATGGTGGCATTTTTCATCATTAGCCAGAGTGGTTAGTAAGGAGGGGAGAGTTTTCTCAGTAAGAAAATAACAAAAGTTACTGAGGGTTTGTTGAGTTTTTAGGCTGCACCTACCTGAGGGTAACTGCTTCCAAAGTCCTAGGTTCTACTGAGCTAAACTATGGCCTGGTGTGGAAAAGGTTTCTGCATTTTATTTCCAGCAGTTTTGAAAAATGTGAGAAGAATAGTGATATTAGAGTATTCCACTTGCACTTGGGAAATACAAGTGTTGAACCAGTGTCTTTTTATTTTGTCTTCCTCTCCTCACATGAGCATTTTTTATTGCGCAGATTGCAAGCTGAGATCTAATTGCAGGGGAATACCAAAGCTAAGGAACATTCTCTTTTTACCAGTAGTTAAATAGTATAAATGCATGTAATTTCATGCAGGTATGTATAATTATAGGCAGTTAAAATGCTACTGAGAAAAAAAAAATAATCATCCCTATTTCTGACTCTTAATTACCTGTAATTACATTAGCAATGGAAGTTGCATTGTTGTCACAGTGATCCACATGTTTCATTTCTTGTGACAGCACAGGTCCATTTTCACTTCCTTTACTTAATATTAACAACCTAACGTTGTGTTACAGTCCAGGTGGTACTGTTGTACTTTCAGATTTAAGCACAGGACACTGCACAAGAATAATTTATCCCAGCAGTCTTGAAGAATTCCAAAGCTTTCCTCTCTTTATTATAGCTAGAAAAATGGATTTTGACCACAAAATCAAAATGATGGAATACTAAAGTGATTTCAAAATACAATGTCAAATCTGCCATTGGAAATTATGCTGCATGTAAGCCAATTTTGATGAAAATTTCTGTGTTAAATGTGAAAAAATGGAGGGGAAAATTAAAACTTTTCATGTGGCTGTTTCAGGTGTTTTATGAATGAGTAAACAGTGTGATTCTCTCTGTAAGACAATGAGATGAATTAGATAACAGTTTTTGAGAATAATTTCACATTAAAGATTAATTTAAGTAATCAGATAAATGCAGCAGAACATTTCTGGGCGATTATCACTTACCTGCTGTGGGGATACCCTCTGTATGACAGCTTTAATCCCATACAGCCACATTCTGTCAACTGATTTTTTGATTGCTAATCAAAGTTTGAAATAATTCATCCAAATAACAGAGCACAACAAGCATATTGGTACATAAATATGGCCACACTGTAACTGGCAGCAAGACAAAGTTTCTTTGGAGTTAAAAATCGTCATGCCAAATAGTATTAAAGTTCTTCATTTCTGGATCTATACACAGGCTTAGGATCCTGCCCTTCCTTGCTGTTCTTTCCCCACATGTGCCTTCTCCTTCTCCTCTTCTCCCCACATCTCTTTGTAACCATACAAAATTTTTAAGTGGAAATGGAGGTGAAAGCTGCCTTTCAACGAGAGAGATTCATGTGCATTTACAGAAAAATCTATCTCAGTCCAGAAAGGTGACTTTGTAGGCAGAGATTTTACCTCAGATGAAAAAGCTTTTAATGCTGTACATTATGTCCATTGTGTTCATTACGTACCAGAGTACACAGTGACAACTGCCGTGTTAACACAGATCACTAGATGGCTAGGAGGTTACAAATTCTACAGAGCTAACCACAAAAGAGGAATAGTTGAATTACCTTTCTTTTTTAAGTATAACTTAGTTTTTTGCAATATTTTTTGCTATGAAAAAGTTTCCATTCTTAAAA